CAATCGTAAATGTAGACAGATAATTTTTCAGAAAAAAAAACCACACCACATCTTGATCCCATTCCTAGCCAAGTCAACCGGATAAAAGTGTATCAATGGGAGAGATGAGTGCAGGGCAAATAAGACTCTTTCCACATAGGCTTTTCCCTCTACATAAACTTCATTTTCATATTGCTATGAGGTGCCCAAATCACTGTCCCCACCTTCTTTTCCTTGTGTCAGCTTGTGTTCCTCCAACCAGCCAGCTGTGGGAAAGTACTAAAATCAGGAGACAGCTGGTATTGGCTATCATATTGGCTTTTTACAGCAAGGGAAGGGAGGGGAAGGGAACAGAAGGGCAACAAGGAAGCCACTATCGGGGGACTGGCAAAACCATTCCTATATTCAGTGGGGCAAAACAGGAAAGAAGTACAAAATGAGGGAGGAGTTCTTGCTGATGGGAAGCCACTTCATCTACATCTGCAGAAGAAAACCTACAATATGGTTGTCACACTTCACAAGGCGCAGCAGCAGGAAATCAGACAAAAATTTGTATAGTTGGATGAACCATAGTGTTACGGGCACGTATAAGGAGCTAACAACTGGTCCTCCCCTTGATTGTAGAAGGGAGCTTTGCACATGAAAATTCTTTACTCTTTTTATATGCAGGAGACAGTTACAAACTTCAGTTTAGCTGGATGCAACAGGGTTATAATCTCGACTGGCCTCCTATAAAACTCATGTTTATATGGAAACAGTTTATGCATTTTATTTATTTATTTACTTACCTACTTACAGGATTTATCTGGCCACTTATCTCATACAATCACTCTAAGTAGCTCACAAAAATTCATAAAACATAATGAAAACAAAGGTATACTTTATTTATTTATGGTAAATAAATGCTCAAGATACATAGATATATAGATATGCACACACACATACACGTGTGCACACACACACGCTCTACAGCCTCTCTTTTAAAAAAAAAAAAGGGAGTAAAAACAAATCCTGTGGCACGTGTTCCTGAACTGAATTA